GCAAAACGAAAGCGCCAAAAAAAAAAAAAAAAAAAAAAAAAATATATATATATATATACACCACTAGCGTCGTAACCGAGTACAATTTCACCACCGCGGTGTGTGCTTCTCCTTCTACATTACACTGTCTATCCCTCCTTTACATTGCTATTCTGCTCATTCATGTTTCTCATCTCCCTCATCCTGGCCTTTCTCAGATCCATGGAGTGCATCACTTTGTTACCCGAACCGAAGTTTCCTCCAAAGGCATTTTTATTAAAATCAAATTTCTGGTTGCCGTTGTTCGCGTTTCCAAAACCGGCCATGTTACCAAAGCCTTCCCCAACCATTTCGTTCCCCCCCATCACACCCCCTTGTCCATTATCTCCTACATTTATTAAACCACCCTGGAAGGCCCTGTTCCCCATCTCCTCATTATTGCTATTTAGAATGTTCCCCTTGAAGCCATTGTTGTTTCTTGCCTCTTCATTGTTCTTCATAAAAATATTTTGGTTATTTCCGGTCATGTTTGCCGCACCCTGGAAATTCATGTTGGACATTTGGCCGTTCCCCAAATTGCCTGTCATGCCGTTAGGGTTCATCCCGTTGGGGCCCATCCCGTTCTGGTTCATGCCATTTGGGGGCATCCCGCCCATATTCACGCCGCTTCCCCCACCGCCGGCATTGTTGAACCCCCTCACACTCTTACCACCCCCGCTGTTATTACCCCCCATACTCATTTTGTCCGCCTCTCCTCCCGTGGGGTTCCTATTAGCGGAACTGGCGACTCTCCAGTTGCTTTCAGTATCTATGTCCCTTCTCCTAAAGTTCCTGTCCTCTCTCTTTTCATTTCTCCTCATGTGATTTAAATTGTTCCCCTGCCCCGCGGTCATGTTATTAGTCCCCTTAGCATTCATCATGTCGTCAACATTAAGCATATTATTGTTGTTGTTACTGTGTGCAAAATTTTTTCCACTCCTACCGAAATTATTTCCCTTCATCACATTTCCTCCGTTGTCATTGAACTTGTGTTGATTATTTTGTGGAGCCATGGCAGCGAATCGGTTATTTCCTGGGTCACCTCCTCCCCGTTCTAATACACCTTCCAAGTTGGTCATTAAGGTGTTCTGATTATTCCTCTGCTGACTGCTACCTCCTTGCATATTTGGTGGCATATTATTCATAGGGTTATTCATTTGCATGTTGATCGGTTGACCCATTTGCTGTCCCATCTGTTGCCCCATCTGTTGCCCCATCCTAGCACCTTTCTTTTGCATGCCGCCCCTGTTTTCAATATTTTCCAAGAAGAAATTTTCTTCCTGTGGTAATGTCGTGGGAGGAAGTGGAGGAGGGTTCTGCAACCCACGCTTTAAAAAACACCTGAAGCCAATCATATGCTTCCCCTTAAACCCGGGCATAATATAACCATTCTTAACCACCTTCTCGTTGTTTTCATTCTGCACATTATTATTTCCTGCACTCATATCAGCAGACGCTTCAAACCACTTCTTCTGGTTATTCTCGTTTTTCTTTTGGCCGTCAAACATATTCATTCCAAATTTTTTCTTTTCAGGGAAACCGTTGATTTTCATTTTTTCCAAGCCGGGATTATTATTTAAAAAATTCTCATCTCCTTTTTTAAAATCTTTTAATTGTTTTTTTTTCTTATCTTTATCTTTTGACAATTCTGATTTTATTTTTTCTGTTGACTCCAACAAATCTGGGAACGACTCGTCGTCTATTTTTTTTTCCTTCTCTTCTTCTCCTGCCTCTTCATTATTTTTTTCATCTTTTTTTTTCCATGCCGATCCAGCTTGCTTCGCGTTCGCCCCTGCGTTCGCTGCCCGTCCTCTAACGCTCACGCTTATTCCTACAGGAAAGCATGACAGAACGAAATATTCAACATGTGCATTCGGTTCCGTTAGACCCATGGGCGCAAAAGTGAACGGAGATATTTACAACAAATTTGCAAAGACACAACAGTGCAGTTAAATAAGGACCACTCAAATGTGTAGCGGATTATGTACAAGACCAATCAATGACATGTGCGCAACTCAACCGTTAGTCTCCCACTTACCCTTCTTCAAGGAGCTCCCGCTCAGGAGGTGCTTCCCCAGGGAGACGCTGTTAACAAGAGGCATTTCATTTTCCTCAGAACTTTCGGGTGTCTTCTTCGCTGCCTGGTCTGCCTTTTTCAATTGCTCTTCCGTGACGAGTTCTACAAATGATGTGTAACGGGGGGGGG